CTCTTGATCTCAGCTCAGGTCATGATCTCACAGTGTGTGAGTTCCAGCCCCGCATCTGGCTCTGTGTTGATGGCATGGAGCCTGCTTGGGATTCTGTCTTTCCTCCTCTCTGCCCCTCTCAGCTTGTGGTCTCAGTCTCTCTCTCAAAATAAATAAACTTAATTTTTTTTTAATGGATATCTTGTAAGCAGCATGTAGATGGGTCTTGTTTTCATATCCATTCTGATACCCTATGTCTTTTAGTTGGAGTTTTTGGTCCATTGAAATTTAGAGTGAGCGCTGAAAGATATGAATTTAGTGCCACTGTGTTGCCTGTAGAGTTGGAATTTCTGGTGATTTTCACTGGTCCTTTCTAGTCTTAGCTGCTTTTTGTCTTTTTGTTTTGTTTGTTTGTTTTTGTCTTTTCTCCTCTCAGAGAGTTTCCCTTAAATTTTCTTGCAGGGCTGCTTTAGTGGTCACAAACTCCTTTAGTTTTTGTTTGCCTGGGAAACTATCTCTCCTTCTATTTTGAATGACTTGCTGGATAAAGAATTCTTGGTTGCATACTTTTCCGATTCAGCACGTTGAATATATCCTGCCATTCATTTCTGGCCTGCCACGTTTCTGTGGATAGGTTTGCTGCAAATCTGATCTGTCTTCCCTTATAAGTTAAAGACTTTTTTCGCCTTGCTGCTTTCATAATTCTTTCCTTGTCTGTGTATTTTGTCAATATGACTATGATATACCTTGTTGATGGTTGGTTTTTGTTGAATCTAATGGGAGTTCTCTGTGCTTCTTGGATTTTTATGTCTGTGTCCTTCTCCAGATTAGGAAGTTTTTCTGCTATAATTTTCTCACATAAATCTTCTGTCCCTTTTTCTCTCTCTTCATCTTCTGGGACTCCTATGATTCAGATGTTAGTCCTTTTTAAAAAGTCACTGAGTTCTCTAAGTCTTGTATTATGCTCTTTTGCTTTAGTTTCCCTCTTTTTTTCTGCTTCATTATTCTCTATAATTTTGTCTACTATATCACTGATTCATGGCTTTGTTTCATCCATCCTTGCCATCATGGCACCCATTCAAGATTGCATCTCAGTTATAACATTTTTAATTTCCTTCTGACTAGATTTTACTTCTTTTATCTCCACAGAAAGGGATTCTATGCTTTATTCATCCCCAACTAGTATTATTATTATCGTGGTTCTGAATTCTAGTTCAGACATCTTGTTTATATCTTTGTTTATTAAGCCCCTGGCTGTAATTTCTTCCTGTTATTTCTTTTGGGGTGAATTCCTTTGTTTCATCATTTGGAGGAAGAAAAAAACTTAATAAAATAGCAAATAAAAATTTAAAAATTTAAAATAACACAAAAAATCAAATAAAGGAAGCTAGATACTAGGTGTGTTTTGGTCTGTTTTTTGAAAGAAGCTTGATAGCATAGAGAAAAAAAGGAAAGAAAAGAAAGAAAAGAAAACAAAAGTTAAGAAAAACATTTAAAAAGATTATATTATAAAATTCACTAAAATGAAATAAAATGAAATTGAGTAAAAACTTTTAAAAATTAAAAATATAGTAAAAAATTAAAAAATTAAAAAATTGTTTCAAAAGAAAATAAAAATAAAATTTTCTCTTTCTGTATCCAAGACAAAGGAAAAAACATTTTTAAATCAATTTAAACAAAGACAGAAGCAAA